TCTCTCTCTCTCTCTCTCTCTCTCTCTCTCTCCCCATAATTTACAATCCGTGTACAGCGTGTCCCATGCCCACGCAATAATCGTTAACTTAGATTGCTCGCTAAAGTCTTGAAACACCTCGAAAATATTGACGTCACTCACAAGTTATTTACAAAGACGAGAAGGGTGGATTGGAGCAAATGAAATAAATTTCTATAATTTTGCAAACATTTGACACTTCCAGCACTTTTTTTAAAGAAAAAGTAAACCATCTGTATTGCATCTACACAAAGGAAACTTCAGATCAGAAGTCAAGAAGAGATCTTCTTATTGAACTGAAGGGGATGCTTCTCTATTTCGTTTAACAGTAAACCAGCTCTTAACGGCAATTTTTCATTTTTCGTGGAAACGTACGCTAATCAACTTATTGAGCCAACTAGCAGTGTTGGTAATTATGTTTGAATTATTATCAGATTTCCTTCATGTATTGTACAGGAAACGAGAAAATATTCTTAATGATGCAAGTGTACAACGGCAATGTACTGTGTTAGCACCAAAGGTGTGATAGATCTTGGGAAAACTGGAGTTTCAAGATGTGAGTTGGTACAAAGTCATCAGAATATACACGGGGCTTTTGTTCACGGATAATATTCCGGCGTTGCTATTATTTAAATTAACACAATCTTTAGCACTAATGAACCCAGATATTGATTCTGTCGGTATTTAATCTTACATCATTTGGGTTTGGGGGAAGATTAATCAGTTTCTAAGAAAACTAACCAAGAAGGAATGCATTAAAAAATAGCAGGAAATATACAGTGAAAGCAAGATTCCAATGCATGTTGGTTTCTGCCTTAACTGTTCATTTGAAAGTGACAACATGACATAAAACCCATGAATAAATTTTATGTCGTTTTAAAACCTCCCCAACATGCTGCAGAGTGTATGGATATTTTCTTTCATTTGCAAACCCCTTACTAAAAATTATTCAAATATACAATTTGATGGATACCGCATTTAGGGCCTATTGACCAGGAAAAGCTCAGCCTATATCAACTGACAAAACGTGCTAAACATGCAAGGTAGTACCACGTCAGAAAAAAAATCCACTTATGATTCAGCGTCTGCTTCCGTGATGTAGTGTACACTACGCCCTAGGCGTTAGATGGCAACAGCAAAATTAAATTTGTAATATTAAATGAGCCCGCTAACTGGATTTTCAACATCCACAGCATGCAAGGCTGACTTAAACCTGGACAAGCTTGAAGCTGTGCGGATGTCTTCTGACAAGAGACCCCATTCTGGAATTGTTCTGAGGTAGAGGGAGACGGCCTACTTGAAACAATCCTTGTTGAAAGCAGGTCGCACGAATGACTGTTGGCCACACAAACTGTGGGATTGGTGAGAATTGCATGTTGCGCCTAATCCAATCAGCGTTGCCTGGCACAACTCCTGTGATCCCTTATAAATCACGCTGAGTCTGGCTTTGATGCGTCTTTCCTCAAACGTATCCCATTCCTGATTTTGAACTAACAAGGATGCGTTACGCTAGTCTCAGTAGTCATTACAGACAAAGCGTGCCGCCCTCCTTTGAAGTTGTTCGAGCTTATTAATGTGAGTTTTACGATAAGGATCCCAAATTGGTTTACGATATTTCAGTCTGGGACGCACAAGAGCCTAACACCGCCAGTAGCACAGTTGGATTATTCCTAATATAAGGAGACCGTATTCTAGTTGCTTTGTGACTGATTTTGTTTATAAGTAATGCCCAAACCAGATCCCTTGCAATTTCCACACCAAGGTAGGGTTAGCCTATCAACCTCCTCCAGGAAATTGTCACCCATCCTGCGCGTGCTTTTCTCAGGTTTCTTTTTGTGAATGACTCCAACTGAATAAAATTTAGACTATATTGAAACTAATCTGCCATTTTTTCCTCCCAGACTGTGATACGATTAATATCTGTGCGGAGGTGAATTTGATCAGTAGGCCAAGATGACTTGATTTCTCCACATGGCATGAAACCATCTGCAAACAACCTAACGTTAAACTTTACGCCATCTGGTAAATCATTGATGTCTATCAGAACAACAGCGGGCCAAGAACCGTCTCTCCTCAAAGGTACTCGTGATGCAGTGTTGAGAAGGCCCCGTCCCAAACATCTCTCTGATGACGTTTTGTTAAAAAGCTCTTAATCCAAGAGCGCTTAATCTTAACCCCTATATAAATATGGTATTATTGGCACCCTTTTTTCTGCTCATTTGGAAGTTCATTAACATTTTTACAATGTAACAATTAACAACCCCCTCTCACCCACAAAGAATTCACGATCTCCGCCCTCAACAAGTAACAAAGTAAAGCGCCCTCAATAGTCCTTTGATAAAACGCGAAAGAAACATGGCGGCCTCCTGGACATACATGTGTACAGGATTATTTTAATCGGAAAATTTATTTTGTAATCCACACAACTGGTTACTTTTTTAATACCCGGATCTGCCACCAACCAGATTTTTATTTTATACGACATCATGTTACTTTTGAAACAATACAGGTGTCAACTTTGTCGCTGTTTTAAGGTTGTAAGAAATAGGTGTAATGACAGTCATGACAGTGCAATTTGCACTGCGAGTGCAACTCCAACATATCCGAGTTCAGTCGTGTCGTCTGTGCCAGTGTTGACTGCTACATTTTTGAGAGCAAAAATAAATGAAAGTGGGAGAGATCTTCAGTATCGGAGGACATTTTGCACATCTGTGAGAACAGCAGCAGACCAAAAGAAGTTGGGGGTAAAGCCTGTTCCTAGTCAGCTAGAATATGTTTAACACCTTAATCATGATACTGAGGAAAAATGTAAAGATTTTCTGGTCTCCTCCCCCACAAATTGTGTAGACTCAAACGTGTACTAACTGCACTGTCATTTACTGCTACTACAGTGTTAGTCTGTGGAGCTAGACCTGGAAGAGGGATTCATTAACAACAGGCATGATGGGGTACTGTTTCTGCAAGCTGACGGGCATAGCCTAGCTATACTTCATGCCAGGCCTATAACTAAGCAAAGAATCTGACAAACTTGTAAGGTTTGGAGTTTCCTAAATGGACGGCATGATTAACTTGGTGGAAAGGAAAGAGTTTATATATGAATGTGACACTTTTTCCACAGGGTGTCATTTGATGTTCGTGTACATGTACAGAACTCTTTCCTTGTAAAGAGTGCAGGCTTTTGATGATTGAAAAATGGAGTAAAAACAATGATGATGGCCATGCAGCCACAAACCTTCACTTTTGAGTGATGCACACTGAAAACAAATATCATGGCAGTAAAACTACCAAGATAGGCCCTACATGTAGACTGTTGGTAATCTGGGTTAACTGAAGCTCTACTGAGAATGCCAATCTCTGGTTAGCCTTAAACTTTATTTACATGTACTGTGAGAATAGGCTTGCAAAGGCTTAATTGTGACGTTTTTTACGCAGGGCACAGGGGCATATTTCTTTTCCATTTTGAAATTCGGATAAGAAAATGGCATTTTCTCTAGACTTGTCTGTGTGTATATCATTCAGTTTGCAACATTTCATCTTCTGACACATCTGGCTAACATCTTACTAAATTTAGAACTGTCGTGCCAAATTCTGAAAAAGGGTCGGTAAAATTACATTCCTCATGTCATTTCGTAGTGACAAAACATGCATTTAAAATTTTTAAAAAGGGGTGTCCTATAGATATTTCATAGTAGATGGTGTTGTTCAGTCTACATGATCAGTATAATGCAGCATTATTGGTCAGTCTTGCACTGTTGCAGGAAATCCATTTAAAACAACAGTTTTAGATGCCTGAATAAGAAACAGAAGTTTACATTACTGTTGGAACAGCGATTGGTAAATGGCAGCATGATCAACCAATCACAGTGGTTCACTGATCAGGCCTACTAAAAATTGGTCATGCATGTAGTCAATACAAGCAAAAGCCTTTTTCCGTGGAGATTCTGCTTTGTACATTTTTTGGAAATGTCCATTTCAGGATGCCGTTGACATGTCAGTGTATCCAGCGGAGAACATCCGGAATTTCAGCATCATTGCTCACGTGGACCACGGCAAGAGCACATTGGCTGACAGACTGCTGGAACTAACAGGTGTGTATCCAAAACCATGAAGACCAGATAATCGCAGAAGTTGGGGAAAAACTGAACAGGTGTTGGACCGACTACAGTCCATTTATCCTCATATACATGAGGCAGCATTTTCCAGGAAGGAGGAAAGGAAGAACTGAATGGTTTCAGCTTCAATAATATAGAGATCCCTCAAGTCTTTTGAGGCACACTCCTTCAAATGAGAGTACATGTCCATGAAGTTTATGATGACAATGTGCAGCTTCATTGTAGAGGTGCACTGTAGAGGTGCACTGTACTACAAAGAATCCATCTTTCATAATTCACCAAGGAAAAGCATTAGCACCCACATGCTGAATTATTCCTTTCTGCGGATGGACGTGGTAAATGTTCAAAATGACGGTTAGTTAGGCTGAATGCTGGCTGAATGCATTTTCTGTTCAAGTGTGATGTACCTAAACATTGGAAGTTATCATAGTTGAACAAGTTTTTCACATGCCTTCTGAATATACAGACTAGTATTTGTTAGTATCGCACTGCTCATACGAAAGAAAGAAAGAAAGAATGGATGATTATTACCAGACATAAGATAACGGAATTGAAATTGAAGTATAAATAACGCATGTTGCACTCTTAAGCATAAATTATTCCTCCTTTATGTGTTTGCCACGCCACAGGATGGTGGAATAGTATTTAAAATAGAATATTGTCTTGCATTAAAATGAGAGTGACCATCAAACTTACATGGTATTTACACATAAAGCAAGATACAGGGTGTAGAGCACCTCTCACCTTTGTGATGGTCATTGTTTGATCAGAATTTCAGGAATTCTTTACAGACATCTAGGGGGGGATGTGTTACATGTAGGTACATGTAACAATATTCCAGGGTGTGTATTGGGGATTGGGCATGTAGGGGGGTACCACTTTGTCCCATACTGTATCTTTCTGGGTATAGATTTTTTTATATTGAAGGCAACAATGTGGTGATTGTAACCCTTGCCAATCTACATGTACCAAGTAAATATCTAATTTGTACCATATCTCTGGACCTGCCAACCTGGCCACACTCCTTCCTGAGGTCAGGCATTACCACACAATAGATTAAAAATTTAAATGAACTGAAGGCTCAGTTAAATACCTTTTAATCTATTATGTGGTAATGCCTGACCTCAGGAAGGAGTACGGCATGTTGGCAGGTCTGTATCTCATTCTCAGGTAAGAGATTGTGGAGTATTGCAAAAGACCTTTACCATGATGCTACCACATTTGTCTTGTTCCACGAAGATCCACAGGCAATATTAATACAACGTCGTATCTTGTTAAAAGGGATCAGACTGTTTTTCCCTCCAACCTCAGTTTGGTTACATTGCTTTGAATGGTAGAAAAGCAAGATGGCTGCCCATGATAGCATCTATCAATTGGAAGTTACTTTCCCTTAACTCATCTCTAAGGTACCATCTCCAAGAAGTCAGACAACAAGCAGGTGTTGGACCGACTTCAGGTGGAGAGAGAGCGAGGTATCACCGTCAAGGCTGTCACCGCGTCAATGTTCTACACACACAGGGGAAAGAAATACCTACTGAACCTCATTGATACACCGGTCAGTTGAAGAATCATATGTTTTGTAAACATCAATATCATTAAAAAGGGGATTCAGTTAGTCAGCAGGGAGCAGGAATACATCAAGTAGCCTCATCTGTAAGAGAACAGGAATGGAAACTTTTTTTCCCACCGAGAGTATCCCGTTAGAAGTACGCATTTACAGTGTTCTAGATAAGTTCCCACCTTGAAGGGAGTGAACTTGAGTGAACATACATGAACATGTGTGATTTTGCATGGACAGCTGTTCCCATGTAGACAAATCTGACATTTTAAAGTTTTCAGCATGGAGAGCAGTGTGCAGTCCTTACAAGCCAGGTCAGTTTCCCATGTGCTTTAAACTGTGTGCATGTCATTTTCATTTCATTTCATTAAGTATATTTCAGGTATTACAATAAACAACAATTTAAAGAAACACAAATGAAGAACAAATCATGGACATATAATACACTGAAAACACCCCTGAGGGATTGCCAAAAAGCGAATCAAATCACTGTCTAGTGGCTGTTCTCAAATGTTAGCGGATTACATGTACATAAAAAAATGGAGGACAAACACACTGATGTAAATTTCACCCAGAAAGAATTTTACATGTACATGTATGCACATAAATATATGAAATGCTTATTTGTGGGTAATCATCTGCCATTTAGTGAATTCATGCAAAACTTGAGAGACTCCAACAAAGCTTCAAAGTTTTGGGCTCTGAATTACAAAATGTTTTTGAATACTTTATATACTAGAAGAGTTTTGATCGTAGGTTTTACGCTCCCATTGCTACACAGACTCCACCATCTTTCTGATTACATCCAAGTTTGCAGATTCCAGATCAGTTAGCATTGTCCACACAGACTCGTATTATGTCTATAAAATGTTATTACACATATGGGTGCACCTCTGCGATCATCAGGTAACACGTCATACAGACTTTGGGGCAACAGTTATTCTTTTACATACCTTTTCTAACACTTACCCATTTTTGGTCGAGTTTTGATTTCTTGCCTGTTGATTCATTATCCATTAGCAGGTGATACAGTACAGTATTGGATATAAATTTTACAACACTGTCGGTCAATGTGTGACACAGTATTGGTTGGTGAAACATTAGGCATTGGTTTGAACATTATCATTTGTAACAGTAGTGTTTCCAATGTAAATATGCAAGCAGTCTGACTAGAAAGTGCAGTTTATAGGAAGTGGAAATCAGAATTGATCTGTGTAATTAGCTATCCCTTGCATATGGCTTTCAATGAACAATAAAAAAATATTTCTCTTCCTGATTTTTTTTATTTTCAACAGGGCCACGTAGACTTCAACTATGAAGTGTCCCGCTCTCTCAAAGCCTGCAAGGGGGTGGTACTCCTAGTGGACGCAAACCAGGGAGTTCAGGCTCAGACGGTGGCCAATTTCTACCTGGCGTTTGAGTCTGATCTGTGCATCATCCCTGTCCTAAACAAAGTGAGATTGCCCTCCTAATAAGGGATGACTGTAGATGGAGAAGGAAGGGGATTTGGCAGTTCAGTTTTAATCCTCAGCTGCATGGAAATTAAGAAGTAAAACTGTTCATATCTATTTCACCAGCTTCTGGTTTAAAAACAGCCGTTGCAATATGGGAAACTAAGCTGGGACACTTGCTCCAAATTTTGATTTGACATTTCATTTGAGATGTATCCTTGTAGCTGTTTTATTGAATAAGTATTTGAAACCTGTGAATGCAGGTTTAAATAAGACAAGATGTTGCTAGTGTTAGTGCATTTGGTGCATCCGCATCTTTGCTCACGTCTGCAGTGTTGAATATTTTAGATACTTTTACGTCAACCCTTCCATTGCCACTTTCTAAAAGTTTCCTGGCATATCTGAGTTTTCCAAGCATCCATGAGGAAACTTCTCTCCCTGAAAAAGCATTGGAATTTTGTTATCAAAGACAACTACAATTGTTCCTAACGTAATCACTGTAATTCAATTACTTTTCAGATTGATTTGAAGTTTGCTGACCCTGAGGCAACAGCCAATCAGATCAAAACACTGTTTGATATTGAGAAGGAGGATATCTTGTCAATTTCGGCCAAGCTTGGAACGGGAGTGAATGAAATTTTACCAGCTGTCATTGACAGGATACCACCGTGAGTTGATGGGAGTGAGACTGCAGCTCCTCTAATTCTGGAATGTAGTGCTGTGATCAGGTCCAGAGCAAGTCCCTCATAAGTCTGTCAATAAGCCTTGTGCAAGTTAACTTTGACCCAAATCTGGTACACTGAGTTCTTTAAGTTCACGTGAACATAACTTAAATTCTCCATACTAAAACCACTGTTGCTATACCTCGTAATTCAGGGCAAGCTTGTGCTTAGTTACATAAGAGATGCCTTGCAACAATACACTGTTCTCAATGGATAAGAAGGGCACAAAGGAATCAGTCCATTCCAGAGATGGTGGTCGCTATGCAAAAGCTTGCCCCGAATTGTGAGGTATAGCAACAGGGTCTTTAGTCTGGGGAATTCAAATCGTTATGTTTACCTGCAATCAGATAACTCAGTGTACCAGATTTTATTCAAATTATACTCGCAAATGGCTTATTCATGTCAGAAGCTATTCAAATGAGCTGTGAGTGTAACACAAGCGTTCCATTCCTTTGTCAGCACTTGTTAACTGTTCTTGTGACCAAGAGATGAGATTGACTTGCGAATAGACTAGTACTTTGCTTGCAGTTGACTGCCGCACTGGTTGAATACATTGCTAGTCTACAAAGACAAAGCAGACTTTACTTGGGGAAGAATACAGAGACCCAGCTTTTTTTTGTATCACAAATTTTTATTGCAAAGATGTTTAAACTATTTCACACGAGGGTAAAACAAGCTAATTTGGAAATGTGCAAGAAAGAGACTGATTGTGAATGATGACACAGGTCACTTTGCCTATCTGTTTAGTCGTCAAAATTCATGACAAGATCACACTATATTTTCATTAGTATAAACTCAAAAACCCAGGTTAGGTTTTGTGATTTACATCTTTGAACTGATTTTTTTCACTGGCAGTTTTTGTGAAAAGTTTTACATTTCAATAGTGACATTTTCCCCGTTCAATGTTCCAATCGCTTCCCTAGCCCTCAGAGTGACCTGGAGGCACCGCTGAAGGCACTGATCTTTGACTCATGGTATGACCAGTACCGAGGCGCCATCACCAACATTGCTATCATCGACGGCAAGCTGCGGAAAGGAGACAGGATTACCACGGCCCACTCCGGCAAGACCTATGAGGTGCAGGAGTTGGGCATCATGCATCCGGAGCAGGTGGCCTGCAAGGAGCTGTGAGTGGATAGGCCCGGAGAATAAGTCTTTTGCGAGTGGCCTTTGTATAAAATGTAGTGCTCTGAGTTCTTTAAATTCACAGGAACATAACAAGTTGAATTCTGGGTACTAAAAACACTGTTCTACACCTCGTGATTTGGGGCAAGCTTTTGCTTAGTTACGTAAGTGACGCCTTGCACCAATACACTGTTCTCAATGAAAAAGAAGGGCACAAAGGAACCAGTCCATTCCAGAGATGGTGGTCGCTATGCAAAGCTTGCCCCGAATTGTGAGGTATAGCAACAGGGTCTTTAGTCTGGGGAATTCAAATCGTTATGTTTACCTGCAATCAGATAACTCAGTGTACCAGATTTTATTCAAATTATACTCGCAAATGGCTTATTGGGCCGTCCATCGGCCTGAACACCCCCTCCCCCATGTGGCTTTGTCCAAATGTAGGCATTGTGGGCCTTGTCATTGTGCACATTTGGATGAAAATTGGCAAATACACTGGGGAACTGGTAACAGAAATATTCACCGCAACAAACCAGGCTACATGTGACTAGCAATTCTGGTCTAAACTTGTGGCTGCTTGTGACAAAAATCTCCATGGTATTTGCTTGCAGGTATGCTGGGCAGGTTGGCTACATGATTGCTGGTATGCATAACTTACAAGAGGCTCGAATTGGCGACACCATCTACCATCAGAACAAAGAGGTAGAACCACTGCCAGGTTTCAAGGCTGCCAAACCCATGGTAATGCAGTCAGTTCATGGTCATTTGAACATCAAAATCTATCTTGCCTATTATAATTATTTTTTACAGCTTGGGTGTGATTTCTCGATATCACTCATACCTATCATTAGCCCTTGACTGAATGGCCTAAACTGTTTAAAAGGAAACTCACTCTGCTGTTTTACACTCAGTCTGTGTACAAATGTTGCAACTGAACATGTTGACGGTTGACGGTAACAGTTGACGATTGACGGTAACAGTTGACGATTGACGGTAACAGTTGACGGTAACAGTTGATGGTTGACGGTAACAGTTGACGGTTGACGGTAACAGTTGACGATTGACGGTAACAGTTGACGATTGACGGTAACAGTTGGCGGTTGACGGTAACAGTTGACGGTAACAGTTGATGGTTGACGGTAACAGTTGACGGTAACGGTTGACGGTAACAGTTTGCACTTTTGCCTTTTTTAGTCGGAGCGATGATTTTTGTGCTTGGGTTGTATTTTTGCTGTCCCCCAGTAATTCCAGCTTTGAGATTCTGTATTTTTGGTGCCCTGCAGGTATTTGCCGGTCTGTACCCAATCGACCAGTCTGAGTATCTGGCACTGAGATCTGCAATAGAAAGACTCACACTCAACGATAGTAGTGTGACGCTCAGCCGGGATAGCAGGTACAAGGCCATCATTTTTTATCCTCTGCTGTTTTACCGAACAGTGTCATGGCCTGGGTCAAACTTACCTGGCAGCACAAGGGAGATTTCTGGATGGGAAATCATAAGTTTGTTTGAAATACTTAACAATAAAATGCTGCTCTGTTTTCTTTCTAAATTCTGGGCAAAGGGGCACAAGGGGGCTGTGTGACTGAGGTCTTCCTCGACATCTAAGGGGGTACAGAGAGGCAGATTGATATGAGACTGAGATTTTAGAAACAAATTTGGGACGCTGGTAGAAGCCAAATTGGGATAATGAAAATTAAAGACCAAACCTCTCATTGGATAGTGCGCTACTAAACCATTTCCAAATGGCTAATTCCTAGTATCTCCATACTTTTGGTGTGTAATTGTGAACAAGAACGGGATTAAAATCGTATTTTGCAACGAGCTAAACAGGCTTTGCACCCGTCCTCCTACCTACCTACCCCTACTTACTTGGCTTGACCTCTGCCTATGAGCTGCATGTGACTGTCATCTCTATATGTCCTTGCCAGCCCGGCCCTGGGCCAAGGATGGCGGCTAGGCTTTCTGGGCCTTCTCCACATGGACGTCTTCAACCAGCGACTGGAGCAGGAGTTTAACGCCAACGTTATCGTCACTGTCCCCAGCGTGCCATACAAGGCCAAGATGAAGGACACCAAGGCCAACCGCCAGCAGTATGGTGATAATGAGGAGATCACGATATATAACCCGTCATTGGTACGTGCTTGGTGATTGGTGCCTTGGGTGATGCTTTATGAAAGAAATGGTTTGATCTGTCTGGAGGTAGCGTGTTCCTTGTTGACTACCACACCAGTCAATTCCTAAGAGCACTTTAGTGGTTAGAAGTTCAGATCAAAAACATGATTTGATTTTGGGTTAAAATGTTGTCAGTCTTAAGCATGGTCTAACGACAGTTCCTCTACTTTTGTATCTCATTGTTTAAAACATCTCAAAATCATCTAAGGCAGTCCACAAAAGCCAGTGAAATTTCCCTGGAAAATTTGGATACCTTAGTTATCTAAATGTTCACACACAAATAAGCAGTGAAAATAGACATTATCATTAGAAATTTAGAAATTTAAATATATAAAATGGCAGTGAAAGCCTATGAAAGTGAAAGTGTCTATTGATACCATTTCCTTTGAAATGAAATATCGGAGAGTTGAGGTTGTGAAGTATTTATATTCTCTACCAACTTTCCGTACCTCAGTTCCCAGAGAGGCAGCAGGTCATTGAGTACATGGAACCATTGGTTCTAGGAACAGTCATCGCACCAGATGAGCACATCGGCAAAGTCTTCAGTCTGTGCCTGGTATGCTCTTTACATTGAAAATTGTCTGCTGCTTTGATCCAGACAAGTGGCCATAAATGGTCGTCATGCGATCTTTATTTTTCACAAAGCTTTTTCCTTCTTGTCATTCCTGTCCTTTTTTTTATATTTGTCAGAAATGTTGAATGTTTTTGTTCTTGAGCAGGATAGTTTGCTGTGATTATTTGCATAAGTTTGCCCACTCTGTACTTCGACACCAATGTTTATTATGAGGAATACCTCAACACAGTCAGTTGTATTTTTAACCCATCGGCCTAAAGGTGTACTTGTACATGCATTTGAACGTGGCAAAGTTGTGCAAATTCGATTTAGATTTTTGAATCAATTAATTGTTTATCTGTGAAATTATTTGGATTTTCTCAGAGTAGGAGGGGTGAGCAAGTTGAATATGTTTACATCGACACAAAGCGGGTGCTGCTTAAGTATAGATTGCCCTTGAATGAGATTGTGGTAGACTTCTTTGATCAGCTGAAGTCAGTTACATCAGGGTATGCAAGGTGAGAGGAAGCAGGGTTTAAATGCACAGTAGAAAGTCAATAGAACTTTGCTTTCAAATCAGAATTGGGCAAGGCATTATGGAAACAGGTACGGTCAGAAATTTTTGGTGAGCCCTTTTTTTCACTTTGGCTAAGCTGCTGATCTTTTGCCAATCGACTCTGGTAATTCTTTCCGCATGATGGCATTTACAAAATGAACATTTATCCTTTATAAAGTAGAAAAATCAGATAAGCTATGTCACCTTCCTGAAATAACCAGAAAAATACGTGACCAACTTTCAGCTTTGATTACGAAGACTGCGGCTACCAGGCAGCTGACCTGGTCAAGCTCAGCATCCTTCTGAATGGCCAAGAGGTAGAGGAGCTGGCGACTATTGTCCACAGGGACAAGGCCAGGGAGGTCGGCAAGGCAGTCTGCACTAAGCTGGTGGATACTATCCCTAGGCAGCTGTATGAGGTAGCCATACAGGCAGCCATCGGCGGCAAGATTGTGGCCAGAGAGAACATCCGGGCACTGAAAAAGAATGTCCTGGCCAAATGCGTAAGTGACCGCTTTGACAAACTTCCTTCTTCATGTAGAAGCAGGGAAAGGAAGAAAACTTTTGGAAGTGGTTTGATGTGTTTGAATGAAGAGCATTTGAGAAAGCCGTTTGAACATTGCATTGGAGAGAACTGTAGCCTGTACATGGAAGTTAATGCTTTCACAGAGTGGCACTTCCAGGTGTTGGGTTCAAGAAGAGGGGGAAAAAATTCTTTTTCCTTAAAAATGAGTGTCCAATTGGTTTACACCCATAAAAGAACCTTTACCTCCAAGAAAGTTGGTAATGCGGTTTAGAAAATGCTGTCGTTTTCAGTTCTTAAAAAAATTGATATGGCTACATCGCTGCAGGAGGGGGGGAATAACTTTTCCCCTCCCCAGTGCTCCCCTCCCCTCCCCCGGATAAATACGCATCTGCTTTTATCCATTTGTAACTTGCGTCTGCCTACTGTAGCTGGTTTCTCCATATGCAGCCAAGTGCTCTATGTGACAAACTGAATAGTAATTGGGCAGGTGGTCTGTGCTAAGTAATTGCAAATAGGTTTTTAACTTTTTTGCTTACAAAATAAAATTCACCACCTGATTTGACTCTTAAAATGATATCGTGCAAAATTGCAAAATTTGGCTTGAATGCTAAGGCATGACGTTAACAGCTGTCTTCTTGATATTTTTACCTACACACTTCAATCAAATTCTTGGTAGTTTTCAGTCTTTGAAGCTTTTATTGTCCACTTTTGTTGACCAGCTTTCTGACCTAAATCCCTCATCTTATTTCACGAAGTGACCGTGAGAACGGAAAACAGAAAAATGACATTTGAAAAGTAAGCCACGTTTTTTCTTGTTGCCAAATGTTAACGTGAAATAAGCAAGCACAGTACCCTTTTTGAAATGTGTTTTGTATCTTCCAGTATGGTGGCGACATCACCCGGAAAATGAAACTTCTAAAGAGGCAGTCAGAGGGCAAGAAGAGAATGAAAATGTTTGGTAATGTGGAGGTACCCAAGGAGGCCTTCCTCTCCATCCTCAAGAGGTGACGGCATCGTAGCCGCCGCGAGGTGTTTCAGTCAACTACCTCACAAGGAGGCACCGCCACCTGTTGCCTCAGTCATGACTATAGACTCTTGGGGATGAGAACCTCCTAAGGATTAGAGTGCTAATTGAAGGAAGTGAAGAGAGCAAAGGCTAAGCTGAGGTGCCCCTCTTTTGGCCTCAAGTATGTCATAATCAAGAGTAGACTCTTTTCAAGCCAATAGCCTCTGCAGGTTGACAGTACATCTTCAGAGTTGGCAGCAGTGGGCAAGTGAACTGCCACTTCTTTTATCTTAATATATCAAACTAGAAAGTAGGTTATTTTCAAAATAACCTCCTTTGTGCACTAAAGAGTTTATTAGCCTTAAATGAATCCCCCCCGGCGGTTGGAAAAATGCATATGAAAGTGGAGGAATCGGGACTGATCAAAAGGTTGGAAAAGTATGGGATGAGTTGAAGAACTCCCATTACCTCCGCTATACCTAACAAGACATTAGACTCTTTTCAAGCCAGGCATTAGACTCGTTTCAAGCTTAAAAATTTGTTAGTGTTTGAGTGGACCTTCAAAGAGATAACAGCAACAGGTGACAAATAAGCTTGCATTCTGCTGTCATTTGAGTTATTTTAAACCTAACACTGGACACTCTTCAAGATGTGAACCATAATTGATGAGGTCCATACACAGCTTTCTCTGCTGCCATTACTGTAGAGGACAGCGTTTGAAAACTGTTGGAAAATTTGGCACATATATTTTGGTGCTTGACAAAAAGATTTTTTGATACAAAAGTGTAAATGATACCACAGGAAAGAGCTTGCAATCAGCTTAGAAATGACACCAAGATCATGTCTCTTGACCACTTATGAAGAGAGGACTTGTCGCTGGAGTGCAGTTCTTGCATCTGTATCCCTTGCATCCCTCAAGTGTGGTATTGCCAAGCGGCCATCTTATCCCTCGTGCTAAAGGCCCTCTAGGGGTACACCCCCGTAAATAGGCCGCGTGGTATAGCCAAGTGGCCATCTTGTCCCTCATGCTGGAGGCCCTCTTGGGGTACACCTTCAAATATAGGCCGTGTGGTACATGTATTGCTAAGCGGCCACCTTGTCCCTTTTGCTAGAGGCCCTCTAGGGGTACACCTTCAAATATAGGCCGTGTGGTACATGTATTGCCAAGCGGCCACCTTGTCCCTTTTGCTAGAGGCCCTCTAGGGGTACACCTTCAAATATAGGCCGTGTGGTACATGTATTGCCAAGCGGCCACCTTGTCCCTTTTGCTAGAGGCCCTCTAGGGGTACACCTTCAAATATAGGCCGTGTGGTACATGTATTGCCAATCGGCCACCTTGTCCCTCGTACTAGAGGACCTCTAGGGGTACACCCCTGTAAGTAAGCCCAAAATCTGTCCGCCCCTCATTAATAAAAGGTATACACTCAAAATATTTTACATTAGAGGGTTGTTAAAGCCATAAATTTGGGGAATTGAAGAGATATTGCACCGAACCTGTTGCCTGGACATAGGGCTTCCAATTCTGAGCAATTTGGATGCAGTCTGAAAGCGGTACTATTTATTCGATTAAATGAAAGGAAAATGGATGACATGTTGATCATCATTTTTCTGTGCAGCCTGAGCACCTGTGATAGTTGTGAGTACATGTATGTTTAAAAGGATTTATCACTGGTGTTTATAAGAAATTATTTACGGAGGTGCACCCCTTGCAGTAAAACGACTGATAGCGCCGTCTGCAGAACCATCACCACTGCTTAGCCCCTGAACACCATCCAAAACGCTACTTGGACCAGTATGTGATTAGAATTGCCTGTGTACAAAACCTTTCACATCCGTGATGAGTAAAGGAAATCATATTCTCGGTTTTGAAGAAAAATTTCTTTGTGTTACCCCTGAATGTCTTCAATCTTTGAGTATAGTGTCATATATTAGTCAGGGTGCACAATATAGCCTCTCGTGCTAAATGACAGCCTCCGATTTTGAGGAGTCTCATAAATTTTGCACCAGCATTTATCCTTTTATTGCAAACGTTTTTACGGGCAAATTTTAAGTCCGCATATTTACAGTTTAAAAAGTACATAGTCTTTTTTTCTTTAGTTTTTCCTCAACTTAGTGTTTCTTAAATGGCTACTGGTGGGCGTTGGGGATTTTTAATCGAATCAGACGTGACGTGGTAGAGCCAGAGATGAAGGCATATTTGGCATTTAAAGTCCCCGATATGCGAGTTCATTACTGTATTAAACACAGAATTCCCAAATATAGACGTCGGGCTTGCGTTTACTGAGTGAAAAAAACTCCTTCAAGTGAAGAGTTGTTCAAGCTTCCCTGCCAATGCTGTGTTAATTTAACACCCAAGGAGTCCTTATTGGTCGTCCTTTGGGAGCCCTCACACAGTAAGCCGTCCCAGGCGAGACCAGCGAAGACGATGGTCAAGATCCTGATGGAGGATGTACAAGCTGACACCAAAGAAATGTTGGTCAGCTAGGTGGGCGACCACCATGGCCAGACATCATGCTCGTCTCAAGCCACGCCTGTTAGGTATCAGGTGTTCATTATTGTTCCTGTTGTGATCGGTATGTTGTATGTTCAGGGAACCTGCACTCGACAAGGTGTGCTTTTAGCTGGTCCATTGCACCTCCTGCCAGCCCCATATACATGTATTACTACGTCATTTTCAATCTTCATCAATTCTACTGAATGCCGTCTGTATGCGTCTTGTATGGCTCCCTGAGATGAAATAAGTATGAATGTAAACACCGTAGGTTTTGCACTGTAGTGGCGCTGGCGACCTGTAGTTAAGTCTGGTTCGCAAATTAGCATCTTTGCAGCAAAGATCTTAAAAATCTTGTGGTCTCCAATATGGCAGTTCCATGCTTTCTACATGAAACAGCATTCATGAGAAATCAACCCCGATCCACTGCCTGTTGTTGCATGCACCATGTATAGTCCGGCAAAGTCTGGGGTCCCGTCTCGAGAACTCATTGGTTGGCGGACCCTTCTGCCTCTGAGGAATAATCTCGCCCTCTGGGACAGAAGGGGGTCAGTCCGAGGCACGGCTTAAACTCTGTGGTTGGGAATTCCTCATTAATCAGTCCAAAGACAAATGAGACCCCACTTTCTGTTTACTGAAAACAAACGAGGAACGGGTCTGAAAGAGAAAAAGAAATGTTCTATATAACAAGCCAAAGACTTGCACGAAGCGTTTTTATATGTATCTCGGTTTCAACAATGCAAAAACATTAAGCGCTCAAACTACACTGCTCAAACGACAATAGAAATGCACATTATCACAATCTGAAAAGGGGCAGTACGGCTGACAAATTCCTGACAGAAAACGGGCAATTGGTATGGTTAGTCCAGACAATGAAGTTTAATTTGTTGCGTACGCACGTACATGTACGTATCATTTCTTCTGTTCATCTTTCGGCCTCACGTATCTAAGCCATTTCTTATTACCAAAATGATATTCGAGTGTCAGCTTAAATTCATTACCTCATTTTGTCCGTCAACACGTTTGGGATAAGCTAGACAATTCCCATCTTCCCAATGACAGAAATGGTGCATTTATACCCGAACAGATAAATGATGCTGCTGTCCTAAATATGAAGTGACGTCAGAAAATTCTTCGTGTATATTATACATGTCCTTCAGTCTCAGGAATGGAGTGGTAATTTATTCATGAAGTATTCCCTGCACAGCCATGTGTATCTAATGTCTTGCTTGCTGTAGTCCATCAACGGTTTAAAGGATTGATGGAGATCATTTAGAGTTGAAAGATAATGTCCCAGCAACTGCGATGGAACTTGCGCATTAAGTAATACCAAGACTACAATTGCACCGTGTATTTGAGCTACCGGTATGTTGACAATATTTTTTCTCTGTGAAGCCTATCGTATAAGGTTCAAAGAGACGCTGGTCAAAGTATTTTATTTAAGTTCAGTCTAAGAATTCTTGATGAAAAATACATATTTTCAACCTCTGTGTGCGAAACTAAAGCTTATACTTGACATGTTCTATATTAAATTATCCTTCATCTAAAAATGTGTTCATGTAACTCGTTTCTTTATTGGAATAATTCATCAGCTCTTAGCGAATATACAATGCGAGCGTGAAGCCTCAGTGCATGACAGCCATATTCTCGCAGATTCTCCAGTTGCTTCTCCATCCGTTGGACGCCAGGCCCAAGTACCGCACGCTCAGCGGAGCTCCGTCCTGCCATGCCAGGAAAGCCTGGGCTTCGCCTCGACGGCCGACCTGGATGAAACCCGTCTTGTACCGCAGCCAGAAGTACTTGTACACGTCGTCGTCCAACCGGTTTGCGGCATCCATCACGGAGACGACATTCTGACAATCTTTGCACCGGCGTATTCCGCTGGTTTCTGAGTATCGGTAGTCGATAACTGCAAGTGAAGGGTTGTAGTAGGCATAAAGGAGAAATATATTTAAAAACAGCTCTGTCATTTTCTCGACACGTATCTTCCGCAGTCGATGTCTAAATTGGAAATATTCTCCAGAAGTTAAGTGTTCAATACAATACAATACAAAACGCACAGTTTTTCTCTTTTTGGTGTGGACAGTTATACGCAAAATATTGAAAAGTAATTTGTGGCAAACATTTAAAGTCTGAACCGTTTTTAAGGTTGATACCAGCTAATTTTTTACTACCACTGTTGCCAGGAGAAAACGTGATCTCTCGACATGTCGATTTAGCTACCACAGAGGTATAAACGTAATTTCAATTTTTGTCTGCAGTTTGGCAACACAGAATTTCGCAAAGCACTGTAAAAGCCGGTTCAATCTAGGCGAAAGCGAAGCGAATTTGACGTCACGAAATATTTGCAGTAAAATTTCGCTCAAGTTAAAGTGTGTTCAGCTTTCGGGGAATTCGCAGCGCGAATGTTTGATCTGACGTCACAGATTCGTGTTCGCATTTGCGCCCAAGTATGAACCTGCCTTAAAGCGTGAAAAGTAATTTCACCACAAGCAGTTACATAAACGAGACTGCAGGGTAAATCCATCGAGTTACAGTATATAAGTTGGTTGGCAACAACCAGAGAATACCTTAACGAAATAAGTACATGTTGTATTGTTAATGTACCAGAGCTGTGATGAAACTCGACGTGGTGCCCCTTAAACGTGGCGTGGTTTTATTTTGGCCTTCGGTGTCTTACTAGAGTGACATTGTGACCTCAAATTTCACAGTAAGTAAAATATTCATCAAGCCGCAACACTTCATGAATTTTAGGGTTACCTACCCGCTACAAAGTTTCGATCAGATTCAATTTTGCCCGAACTTTGTGTGTTTAAACGCAAAATGGCTCTTTTTAAAATGCGCCCAAAATAAGTTTTAAAAAATGAATCTTGCCAACTCGTTGTTGGGTGTGTGTGTTGAGGTAATAAAGATTTTATCCAAATTTACCAACTTTAAAGAAATTCTTAAATACTGATATGGGATTTTCTGAGATTTGTTCGAGTGCCCCACGTTAGGGAACACACAGCTGAACTTGTGTCCAGTTTCCAGACGCCATCTTTTTGAATTTCGGACTTAATCTCATGACACTGAAACTGTTTACAACGATTGCCAGCGTTTAACTCAATGAATCTGAAGGCTTTCATCAAAAAGGTTTGGCAGCACTGCATGTGAAAAGTCAAGGAAAACATCCAATTGCGCCATGTTAGAGGACTTTGCTACATGTATAATGCAACATGTCAATTCCCTTAACGTGTTAATGGGGGGGGGGTTGAGTAATTTCCCCGCAGTTTAAGCAGTTGATAGTTTTGATCAACGCTGCACGGACAACCCCGTTCTTCAATATGTTAATACAAGGTAAGTTTGCTTGGGAAAGAAGAGATACCTACCAATTTCATATAACGCATCCTCGTATCTTGTCGGATTTTGATTGTTCAACGTTAGTGCCAACAAAGCCGACATCCCCGTGCGGACCCCAAACCTGACATACAACTCCTTGGCCGGGTCAAATGCAGGGAATGGAAACACGTACACGTAGTTGTTGTCTGTCGTGTGGTACCCCCAGAAGTCGCACGGCGTTTCTGTAATGTCATTCAGAAATTCAAACGAAGAGTATAGTTGTCGGCGGGGC